CTGATAACTTCATAGTGCTGACGCTTAACCCCTTAAGCCACGAGGGAGGTCCCCCCCAGTTGTATCTTTTTTTCAAAGATTTATATAAGAAGTGGGGTATAGGTCAGAGGTGCGGGAGGGTGAGAGAATTCACCAGAGACAGAGTGGGGAACAGAACAGGCAGACTGACTGAAATACACTGCTGGGAGCAGCAGGCGAGAGCAGGCAGGCGAGACAGGAGAGGTCTGCCACGCCATGTGGGTATCTCTCTGGCTGGTCGGGAATTGAACCCGTGCTGCAGAGGCTGCAGACTGCTTCGTGGCGCTGCACTCAACCCGCTGCACCACAGGAGAGGCCCCCTAGTTGTATCTTAAAGCATGATTTCACCTGCCCTTCAAAGCCTTCTCTTTCCATCCATCCACCCTCGATGCCAGATCCGCTCGAGAGCCACAGCCATGCCTTGGAAGCCGTTTCATAATCCTGGCCTCGCTCCCTTACCTGCCCAAAGAGGCAGCCATCACAAGTGCTGTGGCCCCTCCTGCTCCCCCAGGCCTGATTCTGTCTTGGGTGGAGCAAAAAGGAGGGGGGGAGTCTATGAGCCAGATGCAGACTGTTGGAAGAGGAGGGCAAGTGTAGCAGTTGGTACATGTCAGGAATCCAGTCCTTAGGAGAATATAACTCCTTGTGTGGAGGAAGGTCCATTTCTTTGCTCCTAAAGTGGGCTCACCCGTCCGTCACCCTTATGGCCAGGACCCTGAGAGCCACTTGACCTCCTGGACTCCAACAGCCGCGGAAGCTCAGAGCTGGGAGATAGTGGACAGCGCTTGGCAGGTCCCTCGCGCTGTGCCTGCGGGCTCGGCTTGCCAGCTCTCCAGAGGAGCGGCAGCTAGAGGGCTGTCTGATGCTACTCAGGAGCAGGCAGGGTGGGGAGCAAGGGGAATGCGAGGGCGGGTGGGTAAGCCGTCACCCTGAGGAGCCGGGGGTGTGAGTGTGTTTATACAGGCCTCGGCCAACCTGCAGTTTCAGATTTCAGACCCCGTTTTATCGGAAGACTTTCCCTGGGTTTCGGTCAAGGCTGGAGCAGGGAGAGAGCTGACACCAGCGCCTTCCCGGAAGGCTGGGAAGTTCTGCTCTGGGCTGTCTCCCTGTCTCCTTCCTTCTTGGAGAGCTGCATCGGCCCCTGGGCAACTCTTTAGGATCTGGAGTAGTTATTGTTCCTTCCCAATCAGCGGACTGCCTCTTCCAGCTGGGTTCTGGCTTCAAGCAAGGAAGGTAAAATTTGGGGTCCTGGGGCCCTGGGCTAGGAAGATCTGGGCTACCCAAACTTTCAGGGGAGAGGATGGGGGAGAAGGATGCACCTGTTGGACAAAGATTAATACACTGTAAGAGGGATATGTGCCTGCTTGTGTGTGTGTGTGTGAGTGCGTGTTGGAGGGTGCTTCCGTTACATTTGGAGAGCAAATCTTTTACCTTCCTCTTCCTTTTCTTTATTCCCTTTTTCTTTCCTCCTAAATAAGAATGTCCTGTGAGCATCCACCTTCCTTGGGGATCTGCCCTCAAAAGGTTGGAGAGAGTTCCTGGCCTCCAGCATGTGAGCGTTTCCTCACTTGCAGGCAGGCATGGCGGAGGGAGCCTGCAGACTCGAGTCCCCTGCAAGGACGGGTCCTGAGGATCCTGAGGACTGAGGGCCCCAAGCGGCCCTGGTTTTGCTGGCGCTTGCAGACAGTCCGGGGCAGCCAGGTGTGAGCACTGCAGCTAATGTTTGGTGGGAAGTTGTGGCCAGTGTGGATTCAGTGTGGTGTCCGTGTGGAATTGGTTTGAGCCAGTCTAAAGGGATCAAAGCTGTGAGAGACAAGAGTCAGGAGCTCTTCTCAGGGCCTCAGAACTGGGCAGGGTGGAGGCCAGTGCCTGGGGGCTTGGCATGCTGCCCGAAAGCAGAAATGTGGGTGGAGAGGTGGCTGACGGTGGTGGGTTAGGCCGGCTGAGCGTGGTTTTGTCTTCCCAGGGTTTGTGTGGTGCCTCTCCGTGATCAGGAGCAGAGATCAGAGAACTGCTTTGTGTGGGGGCTGTTGGGCGGGCAGCCTGGCCCAGCTGCCAAGTGGGATTCTGCAGTCACGCCCAGTGGGCAGTACATGCCGCAGGGCAGGGTCTGTCTGGAGGGGCGGGTGGCCAGGCTGAATGGGATGCTGCAAGAGGCTGGAGTTGTTGTTTTTTTTTTCCCAAAGACTTATTTATTTATGCATACAAGAGCTAGGGTGCAGGCCAGAGGTGTGGGGGTGGGGGTGAGAGGATTCACCAGAGACATAGTGGGGAGCAGAACAGGTGGACTGACCAAAATACACTGTGCTGAGGGGAGCAGCGGGCACGACACTTGTGCTGCTCCATGTGGGTAGCTCCCTGGCCGGCTGGGGATCGAACTCATGCCGCAGTGGCTGCCCATAGCTTCACCGTGCTAAGACTTAACCCCTTACGCCACCAGGGAGGCCCTGAGCTGGGGAACTATTCGGTGGAGAATGGTGGAGTGAGCTGGAGGCAGAACGTGGAGTGGGTGGAAAGGAATAAGGAGAAAGGGCACAGGGAGCGCTAAGCTCTGAGACACCCCACAGCCCACCAGCCAGAGGACTTCAACCCTCAATGCAGATGCCGCCAGTATAGGTGAGGGAACAGGAGTTTGCTTCTAACATCTGGATATAACGAGATAGATGGCTGAGGGGCATTGTGGGCTGGGCAAAGTACAATAAAAACACATTTTCATCACAAGAAATTGTATAGTGCGATTGAGTCCAGGAGACAATCACAGAGCTATTTGTTTGGCAATATATTTAATGGGTTGTACGGTCTGGCAATTTTAAAAAATAGCCTGGCATTTAAAAAAATTATTTGTTACTTACATCACCAGCTACTTCCAGATAGCATTCCAGGTGCCTTTTTACGTGGCATAGACGGTGAGGTGCACAATCCGGTCAACAGATAATAGTAATGACCTCATCGTTTCACCCAGCCGTGTGGTCCTGCCCAGCTCAGGCTCACCCTCAGGGACACGCTCCACTCCTGGCTGCGTTCAGCAGCTGTTTACCAAGCCCTGTTCTCTCCTGGGGGTCGTGCTAGATCTTGAGTAAGTGGACATTGATGAGACCTAGTTCTACCCTGAGGGATCACCCTTACTAATGTAGTCCAATGAGGAAGACGGGGCAAATGTGATTCCTACGCTATGGAGGAGGGACCTGGAGCCAAGCGATGCTGACAGGCACGCGGTCAGTCAGCAGAAGGGCAGGAACTGGGATGAGGAACCAGCTCCTGAGCCAGTGCTTCCTTGTGTGTTTCTCCTTCGCCACAGTCCTGTATCCCCTTCCCCTGCCCTTCCTCCATCAGGGAATGGAAGGCAAAATGGAAAGCTGCCCCCTGCAGTGGGGTCACCCCCTGGCTCTTGGCTGTGGACTGCAGTGGCCTCGTTCGTGTGCCTGGGTCTAGGCCACCCCGCTGATTGGAGCTCACCACCCCTCACCCCGCTGTCTCTGTCTCTCAGATGATGGGACCTGACGTGGTGTTTTGCCTTCTTCCCTCCCCCTCTGGATTATCTGAACAGCCTCCCCACAATATCTAGGAACCAGCAAGGGGCTCACATTCATGCAGGAGGTTCCACAAAGAGGAAGCTGCTTATTGCACACTTGATGTTTTGAAGTTATCACCTACATTTGTTCACTTCTGTGTACTGACGCAGTGTGTTCGCAGAGCCAGGAACAGTGTGCATGTCCGCATTCCCCATGCTGTCCACTCAGGTTTCCTGCAAAGGTCAGAATCCCTAAAACTGAGTTTTTCTCTTAATGTTTAGGTCTCAACTTAAAAGGGGCATAGAGAGGGGCCTCCCCGGTGGCGCAGCGGTTGAGCGCTGGGTTGCGAAGCTGCCCATGGTCTCTGCAGTGCCGGTTCGATCCCTGGCTGCTCCCCGGCCACCGGAGGAGGGTCCCGCATGGCGCACAGACCTCTCCTGCCGCCCACTGCTCCCCTCAGCAGTGTACTTAATCCATCTGCCTGTTCTGCTCCCCGCTCTGGCTTTGGTGAATTCTCTCACCCTCCCGCGCTTCTGACTGTACCCAGTGCTTGTATAAATAAATAAAAATAAATCTTTAAAAAAAAAGGGGGGGCATAGAGAGGTGATCTGAGGATCAACTGTTGTCTGTAATAGTTTTCACCAGTCTGTGAGGTGAAATGAGAAAAAGAGGAGAGACAGACTGACTTGTTTTTAAAAAGCAAAATGTATCCCGTTTAAAGGATTTCTTTTGGGGGCAGGAGATGTGCAAAAATATTTATTCTGAGGTTAGTGTTTTCTTGTTCTTTTCCTGAGCTGATGGTGAAAGTAGATGGTAGTTGGGCTTTGAAAATGTCCTTATTTGGCAAAATAAAAAGTTGGCAACCTTATATTGGTTCCAAGTTTCAGTTTTTGAAATTTAACTGGTCCATGAAAATCCCAAAATCTTGCCTCTAGGCAGAACCTTCTCCAAACAGATGAGAATCTCACTAATAAAAACCCTTTAGGGCAGATTCCTGAAAAGTTGAATTCTGATCTTGTCACCATTGTTATTTCCCTGTGGGTCCTCAGACAGAGTGAGCTCAGTCTGAGCCTTGGTTTCCCCAAGTTAAGGTTGTGGGGCTTCATACCTCCTCTGGATCAGCATGAAGGATGTGCTCTCACTTCCTCTTCCACTTTGTCTTGAGTGCCTTTGAGGGGCTCTGGGACCAGGCCTTGCCAGCTCCTAGCCCCACAGACTTCATCTCCTAGACTGGGGATCTGTGGATTGGATTGTGGGAGCAGCGGGGGGCATATTTACATTGGAGGTCTTAGTACTCAGTGTTAATAATTTGGAAGAAACACCTTCTTAACCAGATGGTCAAGAGTGAAAGACATTAAAAATTTCCCTATCAGGGCCTCCCCGGTGGCGCAGCGGTTGAGCGCTGGGTTGCGAAACTGCGCGCGACCTCTGCGGCGCCGGTTCGATCCCCGGCTGCTCCCCGGTCACCGGAGGAGGGTCCCGCATGGCGCGCAGACCTCTCCTGCCGCCCGCTGCTCCCCTCAGCAGTGTGCTTCGGTCCTTCTGCCTGCTCTGCTCTCTGCTCTGGCTCTGGTGAATTCTCTCACCCTCCCGCGCTTCTGACTGTGCCTAGTGCATGTATAAACAAAACAAACAAACAAACCAGCAAACAAATAAATAAAGCATGCCTCTATAAAAAAAAAAAAAAAAAAAAAAAAAAAAAAAAAAACAAAAAAATTTCCCTATCAGTGTTTGAAATGGCAGCTCCTCTAAGCTCTCAAGAATATCAACTGGCGCTTTTCTGAATCTGGAAGCTCCTGGAGGCATCAGAGTGTCTGAGTCTCCACCTTCTGAGGAGTCGGGCCTGGAATAGCTACAAGCATGTGGGGATCCCCAGCAGCCCCAGCTGCCAGGCTGAACCACGTGGCTGGGTGTGCACATGGGTGCAGACTCGTAGGAGAGAAAGCATTTAGGGAAAAATCAGTTTGAAATCACCCTGGAAATGGAACTAGATGCTCTTTTTGAGATTCATTCTGGGCCTTTTTTTCCTGAAAGCTGACGCCTCCAAGCTTTGTGGGAGGGAATTATCTGATTTTCCATCCCATGTTCTTGTTCTGAAACCAGAATCCTCCTACCCTAGGAAAGCAGTGGAGGTTCTGCTGAGGCTGTTAAATTTGAAGAAATGGGTACAGGCCCTCAAATTTTTCTGGGTCAGAGATAAGTAGGCCAAACATTAAGGAAACAGGGGAGCCATAGTCGAGGCTCTTAGCTGAGCCCCCAGTCTAGGTGTGTGAGGTTTTCCTCTTTTGGAAAGTGAGGGGTTGTTACAGCATGAGGCCCTTAAGAATGGACTACAGGGAAGCCTGAACTGTGACTAACAGCAAACAGCACAGACCCATTCAGACTAATGTGGTGGTGGTGGGGGGATCAATGGAAAAGGTTTGAGAATGTCAGTGAAGGATCCCTGCCCCACCAAGGACAACCATTGACCCTCTGTACTCCATCTGGTGGCACCACTGGGCCTGGAGCAGGTGCATGACTGTGACAGGGCGGTGGCTGTCTTAGCCCCTCTGGTCACCAGCCATGTGGCTTCCCCCTGAAAGGTTGTGAGGGGGATTTTGTCTCAAGTTTGGATAGGGTGGGAGGCATCCAAATTCTTGGAGATTAGGTCTCTTATAAGGTGTTTAAGTCAAAAGGGCTGAGGGGGTTCATCACTTAGCATGGACTTTTCTGACTAGAAAGGTCAGCAAGGACATGGCTGGGACTTTAAAGGTGTCCCATCCTCGTCATGGTGAGGAGCAAACCCAGGACCACCTTTGTCATCACCGACTACCAGTCCCTGTCTGGGCCTCGATTCCTCATCTGTCCATGAGGGTTTGATCACCAGCCTCCGAACTTTGGTTCTCTACTTGTCAGCCAGCAGGGCCCTTCCCAGAACTCCAGGCTGACCTGGCCACTGCCTCTTTCAGAATTGCTGCCCAACAATTGTGTGTCTATTGGAAAAGTGGCTGGACATGGCAGGACGACACAGGTGTTCCTGAGACAGCAGCTCAAGGGTCAGAGCCCAGAAGCCCCCTTGGGTGACTGTGCCTCAGAAGGGGTTGTTTCCAGTCCCTCCATCGTCAGTTGGTCTCTAAAATGTACAGCTAGATCGCAAGTTCGATCCCCAGCCAGGGAGCTGACCCACATGGCGCAGCAGACCTCTCCTGTCTCGCCCGCTGCTCCCCTCAGCAGTGGATTTCAGTAGATCTGTCTGTTCTGCTCCCCACTTTGTCTTTGATGAATCCTCTCACCCTCCTCCCTACCTCTGGCTGGCACCCCAGTTCTAGTATGCATAAATAAATAAATCTTTAAAAAAAAAAATGTATGGCTAGAGCCGAGTTATCTGAGAATAGGAATTGCCTAATCCTGCTCCCAGGTATTGGCCAGAGCCCGTTTCCCATTTTAAAAGTCTCCTGGGGCCATGAAAGGCATCAGGAGAAACGCGCCAAGCGCCAAACCCGTTCCTCTGCGTGCTGGGTGTGTTTGCCTCTCACCCAGCCTGTGGCATCCTGGTCGGCTCAACACAGGAGTCTCTTTCTCCCTTTAGCCTAGTGCCCTACACACTTTGGCCCCCTGCATCCCTGGATTTTCCCTGCAGTGCATTTATTCCCCTGGGAATGCCTCTAGGGCACAGGTAGCACAGATGAAGCTGTGGGGTGGTGGGGGGAAAGAGGCTGGCGGTCCAACGAGGAAGGGAGCTGGGAGGCATGTTCGGAATCTTCAGACATGTCTACACCTGAAGATCCAACCAAGTAACAAGACCAAGCGGCCTCTCAGCTCTGTTCAAGTGGAAAAGCAACACATTCTCATGGACTGATGGGCTGGTCTTGGGCTCTTTCCCCTGCCCCATGCCAACTTGCCTTCCAGGGAGTCAGTTCCAGGCTGTAGGAACCCAGGGACCCAGCAGAGACCCAGACTGTGATGGGCAAGAACTTGGAACTGATGTCTGCTCTTTGCTTGAATAACTCTGGAGGCCCAGCTGCAGCCCCATCTCCAGGGGGCAACACAACCACCCCACTGCTCATCTTCTGAAACCCCATTCCCTGGGGCATATACTGGGCATCACGTAAAACCTTCAGCAGGGTCTGGGCAGCTCCAAAATCAAGCACATTAATATTTCTGTAGCAAGACTTACCTACAGAATCACATAAGTGGGATAAAGAGGCTATAAAGAGTCCCATGCCAGTTCAGGTCACTGGTTGGTGCTAACTGGGTTAGTCTTGTTGAATTTCTAGCCAATTGAGGTAGGAACACACACCTTTCGATTTTCTGATGTTTGAAGATTTGGAAATGCCACCAAGACTCTGCGGTCCTATATGGTCCTAAGAGGTGGGTATTCATTTTTCATCTTATAGATGAGGAAGTTTGGGTGCAGAGAGGATGCCTAGCTTGCCTGAGGCCATTCAGCAGATAGATAGGTGACTGAGCAGGGATCCAGCCCGGGTCTGGCTGCCTCCAGAGCCAGGCTACTTCCTCTGAGTTCTGGCACATTTTACTCTCCAGGCGTGAGGGCGGGGAGTTGGGAGTGGGGCTGGGAAGCTCCGGCTTTGGCATCTTTCCCGTAAGGGAGGCACTTTCTGCACATCTGATAGGGATCATTCATTGGCTTGTTCTTATTTCTACATTGATTCCTGGGGTCCCAGAAGGCAAAAGGCTCAGGAGAGAGGAAGCGAAAGTTCAGTCAACTTTGTGGCTTACAAACAGAATCCAGTTGGCTTTGTGGGGGCTGTCAGCGCCAAGAACAAACGGGGTCAAGCTGGGTTGAGTGAGAGAAGCATCATCTGTAGTGGAAATAACCCCTGTGCAGAAGCAAAGGAATGCAGGATTTGACTTCCTGCCTCCCGCCCACCGCCTGGCGGCGGTGGTCCCGCCTCAAGTAGGGACCAGCCTTGAGAAAAGGGCGATCTGGAAGGATCATGAACCCCAGATGCAGATGGGAGTGATGTGCAGCTGAAGTGGAGAATTCAATTAGGGACTCTCACTGGTCTTCATTAGTGATGGGGAAAGGTCAGAGGAAGTGCTAATTCAATCTGCTGAAGACACGCCACGCGCTTTTAGTACTTGACTGGAAAGATGGATATTGGTCAGTTGTCTTGGCAATGGCGTAGATAAGCTCCCCGCCCCCTCTCCCGCCAAGTGCTCTCGTGGCCGACCGTCACTTCCAGGTCATCGCTAAGTCAGGCAAGATGTGGACCCTTACTGCTCAAGCGCTGGCGACCACGGGAGCCAGTCACAGGTGAGTCTTCCCAGCACACGGGCCGCTGCCCTGGTGGGGGAGCAGCCTGTGTCGTGTCCTAGGCTGGGAAGACGCCCATTGGGAAGGGCAGGGCAGTTGCCATGGGAACAAGGAACAGCTGCTCCAGCCAACTAGAGAACAGATGGGGAAAGAATATTCTTAAAGGGACCACTAGCTCATGGAACTGGCACCAGGGCAGTAGGTTTCTCTGAAGAAGACAGAAAGGGGCAGATCAGACCCTTGGCCTGAATGAACCGTGGGGCTCAAAGGCGGCACGGGGGCCACATTTGCTTTGGGAAGTGCAGGTGAAAGAAGATAAGGCGTCTCTCCGCTGAATAATGGCTGTCCTCGGGGAACAAGGCTCAAAGCTGGAACAGCTTGTTGGCCACTGCCTCAGAGCTCCCCATGGTGCCCCAAGGTGCTTGCCCCCCACCTTCCTCAGGGAGCTCAGCTTACCTTGGGGCACCATCTCTTCTGTTTCTGGTTCCCTCCTGAGCATCCCGGGAGCTTTCTAAGCGGGGGAGCAGCAAATGTTTCCGAGTTCTCTGAGCCCCAGCTTCTCCAGGTCCTCTCAGAAGGCCTGCTCTCCAGGCCAGGAAGGCCCCGCTGCCCGTGGCCAACCTCCCCGTCCTTTCCCTCCCTTTTGTCTTCCTTCTCTTCCTCATACCAACCAAGTATGCTGAGTCTGGATGAGATGCTGGGTCCTCCAGGAACCATCTTGTCCTTCTTCCTGGTATTAGCTAGGACCTCTGAGTTTGCATTACTAAAACTACTCAAAGCAGCTTAAACACCAAAGGGCATTATAGGGCTCAGAGAAGTGGGTGGCCCACAGGAGCAAAGCAGAGCCAAGAAACTGGATGCCACAAGTGTCTTCTCATTTCACTCCTTTCTGTCCATGCGCTGGTTCCAGTCTTTTTTATTTTTTTTAAAGATTTATTTATTTATGCATACAAGAGCTGGGGTACAGGCCAGATGCATGGGGGTGAGAGGACTCACCAGAGACAGAGTGGGGAGCAGAACAGGAAGATTGACTGAAATACACTGCTGAGGGGAGCAGCAGGCAAGACAGGAGAGGCCATGTGGGTATCTCCCTGGCCAGGGATCAAACTTGTGCTGCAGAGGCTGCGGATAGCTTCATAGTAATGCACCTTAACCCCTTGCATCACCAGGGAGGCCCTGGTTCCAGTCTTTTTTCTCCCTGCTGAAAGGCGTCTCGGCTTCCTGGCCAGTGGGCAGGGTATAAGGATGGCGTCCAGCAGTTCCCTGTGTGCGTGCCACCTGGAGAAGGGGGGACTTCTTTTTTTCTCTCAATCCCAAGTCCTGTCCCTGGGGAGGGACTGTGGCTGAGCTGGAATCAGGTAGCCACCCCTCTAACCAAGAGAGCGGTGCCAGGTTAACCACTGTTAACTACGTGATAGGGAGTGGGGGGCAGTTTCCAACACACTTATCCCTTCTTGGGCCTCCATGTCTGGAGAAGTTTGACTTGGAGAGTTTTACACACCCCCCATCTCTCCTGTTCAGCTCTTTCCTGCCTGACCTTGGGGACCAGCAAGGCGTTGTAGGGAGCGGCAGTGTGGCTGAAGGGGCCGGGCCCGGCTGTGGTGTCACTGCCATTCCCCATGGGTGGCAAAGGCGTGGAACCTGAGCCTGGGAGGCCCCCACCCTACCCACATTTAAAACTCTATCCTTTTAGCAAAGTCCTTCATAAAAGGTCTTATTGTCCCATCAGACACGAGGGAGTCAACTTCTGAAAGTCTCGCAGTTGGGAAGCTCATCCCGGTTTCTAAATTCAGTCTTTCATAGTGTAATTGAATCCATTGTCCCTCATTCCATTTTGGGCTCAAGACCAGGGCCGATGCCCACCATCTTGTTTAGGTTAGGATCGAGTTAGTGCCTGTGAAATCATCCCCTTGCGGGAGCAGACAGGGCCCAGGCCGGGGTACACGGCATTTCTGGTTGCCTGCTGTCCTTCATCCAAATGAACCCGGAGGAGAGCAGAAACTCACTGAAGGGTCAATGGTGGGTGCTGTCATGGTGCTACCCCTGGGTCGTTATGCCTCCTTCCAGCCTAGCCCCCCGTCCCTCTCACCATCCGGTCATGCCAACATGGTGCTGGAGGAGGGAGGCCCCTCTTGGCTCTGCTTTGTGGGAGGTGTGGGAGGGGAATGGATTGTGAGTACTTTGCTCTATCCTGCCTGGCTTCCCCGGAGCCTGAGAGGTGGGGTGTCTCTGAGGGGAGGCGAGGGAGGGCCTGTAGGGGCCTAGGAGCTGGGCTATTTCTGTAACACAGAAAACATCTGCAGCCAGCCGCAGACAAGGTCAAACTCTGGGCGCAGGGCTGGAATGCAAGGGGCCAGGCAGCAGGGAAGATGTGGTTTCACCCCTTCTGGTAGTTTGGAGGGGTCCTTCAGTGCCCTCTGGGGAGGTGGGACTACCTGCAGCAGTGCGTGGGGTAGGGAGGCCCTCAGGCCCTGGTGGTGAGGATGACAGGGTGGTGGTGCCTGGGAGGGACTGGAGGTGCGAAGTCCAAAGAAGCCCAACTACCAGCTGCGCTGTGCTGAGGGGGAGAGGAATTTAATTTCAAGTTGTGGGGCTCTAATTCATGCTCTCTGCCATTTAAAAAAACCAGGGCAGGCAAAGCCCTGTGTGAAGGGGAAGAGTGACAGTGGGTGGGGTAGGAAGACAATCATGGAAGTCTGGGAGCATGCCAGGGATATGCACAGGCGGGTGAAGGCACTGGGGAGCTCTGCAGCGAGCTCCGTGACCCCCTGCTCGCGCTGCCCCTCACAAGCCCTCCCCAATTTGTATTTGTAGTCTTTTTCTTCACGAAGTTCCCCCCAGTTGCATGGTTCTGGTCCCACAGACCTGGGTCTGCCATCTCTACTCATCCCTCCCTCCCTTGCTCCCTCTTCACACAGCTTCACACACACACACACACACACACACACACACACACACACACACACACACGGCCCTGGTGTCTGGGGCGACTCCCCTTGTCTTCATACATGCCTGCATGTGGTTTGGGGCTTCTTGAGTTTCTGTTTATGGATGCCCTGCACTGGCCCTGCCTTGTGGCAGAAGGGCTACCCAGGCCAGATCCGACTTCTGCTTGACCTGTGGCCACCCCCGCCTCAGCCTGTCTCCTCAGCGCCCAGATGCTTGACCCGCAGATTTGCTTTCTTCTGCTGTGGGTCCCCCCAGCTGAACCCAGACCTTTGAAATAAGGAGACCGCTCTGGATGGGAGACTAGCTTCAGGGAGGACTCCCCCAAAGAGCCCAAGGTGCTCAGCGTGCAGTGGCTGCTTTTGTCCTCACTCCAGGAGCAAGGTGTGTCCCGTGTCCTGTCCAGTGGCCCTGGGCAAACTCATGCTCACATTATGCAACTGGTCAGGTGCAGGTGAGTTTTCTGGTCAATTCTCTCTGCCTGGTGATGTCTCCTCTACAGTTAACTTGCTTTTTAATGTCCAGGAGTGATATGACATGGAAAAAAATCCACCTCCCATTCGGATGTGAGCCAGGTACAGACCTTGCTCCCATCTGAGATTCTCTGTGCTGCTTATCCGGGTTCCTAAGGCTAGTGGACAGGGACTGCCTTGTGCTCACTTGATCTGAGGTGGATGGTGGCTTAAAGGTGTTACAAAGTGGGCGTAGGAATCGTGGGTGCTGTCATCACAGACCTCTGCTTCAGGAGCGATTATAAGCATCCATCTTTATGTGTCAAAGGGCTGAGAGGTTTTATAGTCAAAATTACACTTTTGCTTCCTGTGAGTGAACAGTCCAAGGCAGAGACAAATGATAAAGATGACCTTGACGTTTATAGAACATTCCTAGGCGCCAGGGCCCTCCTAAATTCACTATAATCTCATTTAATCCCATAACAAACTCATGAGGTAGGTGCCCATGTGATCCATCTACACACTCAGAATGGAAGCGCAGAGCCGAGTCACTCACCGAAGGCCTTGAGGTGGTTGCTGGTGGAGCCAGGATTGGAACTGGGGCAGTCTGGCTCCAGAGCCAAAAATCTCAAGGCCAATGCAGATTCATCTCAGTAAAAATAAACTAAAGGATTAGTTTGTAGGATGAGGCATGAGAAGGGAATTTCAAGTTGCACAACCAACATGAAGTGGGAAGAGCGCCGGTTTTGGACCACATCCTGGGCTATGATCCCAGCCCCCCCATTTCCTAACTGTGTAGCCTCGGGCCCCTCACCTGAACTCTCAGGTTCCTGAGTCTGGGGCGCGGGACAGTAATACCTTTCTCGGGGTTGAACAGAGAATTAGCTGGCGTCATGGCTTGGTTGGTTGTTAATTTCCTTTTCTGTGCCTGTTGTCAAGCCTTCCTGAGGAGGAAGATTTGGGAATTGAACATTAATTCTTGTTTCAGGAGGAAAATGTCCAGCCAGTCCTCCAATACCGGACGAGATTTACTGCTGTCACCATTTCCTAGTAACCTTGCCTTGCCGCAGCCTCATGCCTGACCTGGGGACTGCGCGGGGATGCCGGAGACAGGCTGGAGGGAGGGGGTGTTTGTTTATTGCTGCTCTCAGATAGCTGTCACTCCCCCCTTCATCATTTTCCTTTTAGAAATAGTGTTTTGCATAATTACAGTAGAATTAACAAACCCAGGAAACTTAACCTTGTTATAATGCTAGTATCTACTACACAGTCCTTATTTAAATTTCGCCAACTGCACTAATAATGTCATTAGCATCCAACCCCAGACCTCCGTGTCTTTACTTGTCTTTAATCTGGAAGCGCTCCTCAGCCCTTGCTGCTCCTGCGCTGAGGATTCTGAAGATGCAGGCCCCTTCTGGTCCTTCCCGGACCTTGTCTCTTCTTCCCATCTCCTCAGTCCCACTTCCTGGGCCTCCACCTGAGCCGGCAGGCCAGGCAGGCGAGGGTGAGGTGATTGAGTGAACCTCTCTCTATTGGCACACAATTCTAAGGCACCTCCCCAAAGCTCAGTGATAGAGATAAATAATGTTTTAATGTTGTATT